GTTGTTGGGAGATATTTCTAAGGGGGTGGGAGGAGCAGTCTAAGTGCGTTATTCGCCAGGCCTGCTTAGGTGACCTTGAGCTCTTGGTGTTTGTTGCCGTCCAGTAGTCTCCAACTCACGGCCACCCCGTGGACAACAGAACAAAATGTTGCCTACCCTGCTCCATGTTCATGATCATTGGTGTGCTCGAGTCTATTGTTGCAGCCACTGTGTATTTTGAGTGCCTTCCAACCTAGGGGGCTCATCTTCCAGCACTGTATCAAAGAGTATTCTATTTGGTCCATAAGGTTTTCAATGGATAGTTTTCACAGAGGGTCAGTGAAAACAAGGCAGACCCTCAATGAGATGTATTGACACAATGGCCACAACAATGGGCTCAAACACACCAGCAATCACCAAGATGACACAGGACTGGGTAGCGTTTCCTTCTGCGCTACGTAAGGTCACTGTGAATCGGGACCAACTTGACAACAACAGCAACAAATTTCAGAAGTAGTTCACCAGGCCTTTCTTCCTAGTATGTCTTAGTCTGGAAGCTCCTCTGAAACCAGTTCACCATGGGTGACCCTGCTGGTGTTTGAAATACCAGTGAGTGGCCTAGCTTCCAGCATCACAGCGACATGTAAGCCACTACAGTATGGTGAACTGACAGATGAGTGGTAGGACCTTGAGCTAGGAATTTGGAAATCCCAGAAAAGCACTATTAATTGTTATCCATTTCTGCTTTTGCCTCCATATAGATGTCCTCATTCGCTTTCTGACCCCTTCCGTCTCCCTTCCGTAACTCAGCAAGGCTCAGCTTGCACTGGCCTGCCTCCCCATCCTTGCCTCCCTCCTTCCTTCCTTCCTTGTTAATGGAGCACTCGCTGCATTGTGTGCTGTGGGTAGATAGTAGAGTAAGAAGCCCCTGCCCCCAGAGCCCTAAGATTGCTGGAGAGACCTGTAGAACCCAGGCTATTTCGTTGTGCTGGGGTGAGGGCCACACCGCGTGCCTGCGGGAGGGCGCCTAGCCTGGGCGTGGAGAGGGTGCCTGGGTGAAGTGTCCACCCGAACTCAGACTGAGCCGTGAGCCAGGCAGCCGTGGTGGAGGAAGGGGCTCTAAGCAAGGGCCCAGCTTAGAGACCCCAGTAGCTGCGTGTGGCAAGGCACACAGAAGGAGAGGAGGTGAGGCCGGGCCAGCCTGGGGTGTGTGCATCACGCTCAGTACTCTCTGTTTCCTTTGTTTACTCTTATGTCCCCATTTGCTGTGGTTGTTAGCTGCCGCCGAGTTGATTCTGACTCGTGATGACTCCGTGTGTGCAGAGGAGAACTTACCCAGAGGGTTTCCGAGGTGCCTCTGGGTGAGTTCGAACCACCAAGCTTTCAGCTAGTAGTAGAGCTTTTAGTCTTTTGAGCCACCTAGGGACTCCACGAGCATTTTTAATTAAAAGACACATGTGCAGGATTTAAAAACCAAGTGACCAGGGCATAATAAAGCTTAGCAATGTCCTGCCCTGTCCCTCGACTCCTGTCTTGCTCCCTGGAGGCAGCCCATTTTTGCCTCCTTAGCTCTTCTTGGTGTAGGTATCCCTACACGGTTAACACACTCAGCTGCTAACCAAAAGGTTGGAGGTTCCAATCCACCTAGAAGTGCCTCCGGAGAAAGGTCTGGAGATAGATGAAATAGATCTACTTCTGAAAAATTATCCATTGAAAACCCTATGGAGCAGTTCTATTCTAACACACTTGGGGTATCAGGAGTCAGAATCAATTCACAGCAACAGCTTTTTGTTTGTCTGTTTCTTGCTGTTACTGCTGTCTTGCTGAAAGAGATACCTCTACTTCTCCTTACTAATCAGATTGAGACGTTACCTACCGAAGAGGAAGACTATGATAAAGACCTAGACCGCCCCTCCGCTGCTCCCTTCTCCTCTTCCATTAGCACTGGGGAGCTGTGAAAGGTGCTAAACAGAGAAGTAGGGTGGTAACCTGTGCATTTTAGAATGTCAGTCCAGACGCAGGGTGGGGCCTGGGTTGAGAGAGGAGAAATGGCCACAGGGGAGTCTAGATAGTACATGCTATGGGTTTGCTTTAAGGAGGTGGTGCCTTGAGTTGAAGGAAAGGGAGGATTCGAGAGGCACTCAGGAGACTGAATGGACAGGCTCTCGTGAATGAATGAGTCTCTGCTCGTTCACCTGGCCAAACAGCCTTCATCCCCAAGTCTTTTCATTAGGGCCACAAACCTAAAAATCTGCGGACGGGCCTCTCAATATAGACAGAAAATCTTGATCATAATCCCTAGAGATTAAAGTTCTAAAAAATTAAAAACTCCATCACCAGTTTAGGTTTTGGGTTTATTTCTAGGGATAAAGAGTGGTTCATTAAGGGGGAAAACCTTACGCAATAGACATCCAAAGCCATTTGTTAAAATTTAATACCGGCTTCCATTTTTAAACTTTGAGGAGAGTATATATTCTAAACTAAGAGCCGACACTGTATATCGGAGTGAAACACCAGAAGGATTTCCCTTAAAATCGAAAGAAAAACAAAATAGTTTAAAACTCCAATATTATCATTGTTTTTATTCCAACTTTCACACACGAATGTTACCTTTTGTTTTCCAGAGGGAGTGCTTGAAAAATAAAAAAGCCAACAAAAATCCTTAAATAGGGTCTGTGTAAAGAGCCTTAGGTGGCGCAACGTTTAAGCACTCAGCTGCTAATCGAAAGATTGTTGGTTCAAACCCACCCAGCAGCTCCGCGGGAGAAAGACCTGGCCATCTGTTCCCGTAAAGATGACACCTAGGAAACCCTATGGGGCAGTTCTACTCTGTCACATGAGGTCACTATGAGTCAAAATCGACAGCACCCAACAATAGGGTCTGTGTGCTGGTCTTGGAGAGCCACCAGGAAGGGCCTCTGAGGAGAGCATGTGGCTCCCTGCAGGCTGGCACAGGGGAGAGGACCCCAGGGCCAGAGTGGGGGGGCAGCTCCTCTAGAGTAGTCGGGGTTGAGCTGAAACAAAGGCTTGGGGCTGCTGGGCACCTGTGTCACTCCCTGGTGACCTGGGCCAAGGGAACTCCTACTTGTAAAGGAATCTGCTGGGTAGACAAAGAGCTGGTGTGGGCGAGTCCCAGCAGGAGGGCTTGGTGAGCATGCTGTCCCCATCGTTGTCCATTAGTTGGGGTTCCGCCTTCCTATCTGGTCAGTGCCCCAGGCTCTTGTTGGAATCTCCTGAGAAGTACCTGCTGCTTTTCTCCTACTGGCCACTAGAGGTGCTCTGATCCCCACAGTGCTCCCAGCCATCTGGTAGACAGAGCCTTTTTTAGGTGAGCCTAGAAAAGGTTGTTGGTAGTTTCCCAAAAATACTCAACCAACATACTGAGCTTTAAAAAGAATTAAAAAATGTTGTATAGACACATATATAGCACGGATGCAGTTATTTTATTCTATGCTTAATGTTATTTTGTTTTTATAGTTAGCATGTTTATAGTTTATTCTACTCCTTACTAAGGAGCTCTGGTGGCACAACTGTTAAGCACTCAGCTGCTAACTGAAAGATGGGTGGTTCAAACTCACCCACCAGCTCCGTGGGAGAAAGACCTGATCATCTTCTTTCCATAAAGATTACAGCCAAGAAAACCCTATAGGGCAGTTCTACTCTGTCGTGTGGGGTTGCTATGTGTCGGAATCGACTCGATGGCACCCAACAACAACAGCACTTTTTACTGCTTGATTCTAGCAAGGAGTTGGAATGTTTTACTATAAAAGACAGACGTGCTAGGAACATTAAGATAAGGAAAAAGAACAGGTCTGTGGAGGGTGGTGAGGGAATGCAAAGATGGTGGCTGCAGCTGCAGACAAAACAACAACAAAAAGAACTCAATTTTCTTGGAAGCAAAAGGCAAAAGAGACATTTCCCATTATAGGATAAAATAAAACTTACCAGTTTCTCAAGAGAGATAAGCATCAGAGAAGTTTACAGATTGTTGATTCTTTATATAAACCAAAAAAACCAAACCCATTGCCGGTAAGTCGATTCCAACTCATAGCAACCCTATAGGACAGAGTAGCACTGCCCCATAGGGTTTCCAAGGAGTGGCTGGTGGATTTGAACTGCTGACCTTTTGATTAGAAGCCAATCTCTTAACCACTGCACCACCAGGGAAGTCTAGTCATGGGTTGTTAGGGTTCGCCAGGCACATCGAGGCCAGCTCCTGTCCTGGTCTCTCCTGAGACATTCCCACTGTCCCTTGGTAAGTCTGGTCCTACTCAAACCTAAAGCCACTATGACCTCTTCCTGTTGGCTCAGCCTTCTTGCCTTGGTGCTCTGAACTGTGTTCTTAGCTCCTCAGTACACGTCGTGAACTCATAGCATGGCTATGCACATAAAAGGTAACTTGTCAGGTGAACCTTGGATACGTGGACTTGTGTCCTGGTAACAGGGTTTGTTTGCCCAGTGGCAAATACCGTGGGGGTGGTGGGTGGGGGTGGCAAGCGGGGCTTTTCTTCATCTTGGGTGGACGTTGGCGGCTTTAGACCCTGTCTTCGTTTCCTAGGGCTGCCTAACAAAGTACCACAAACTGGGTGGCTTTTAAGAACAGAAATTTATTGTCTCACAGTTCTGGAGGCCAGAAGTTTGAACTCAGGCCATGTTGATTCCTTCTGAATGCTTTGAGAGAAGAACTGTTCCATGCCTCTCTCCCAGCTTCCGGTGACAACTAGTGATCACTCCGATCTCTGCCTCCATCTTCATGTGGCCATCTTCCCTCTCTTTCTCTTCTCTTTTCTAAGGACACTACTATGATTGGATTAGGACCCATCTTACTCCAGTATGACCTCATGTTAACTGAGAACATCTTCGGAGACCTTATTTCCAAACAAGGCCAAATTCACTGGTACAAGGGTTAGGACTTTGACATATCTTTTGGGAGATACTTGAACACTTAACAGAATTCTTCTCCAAAAGATTTGGCTCTCCACCTACCAGAAAGCACATCTTATTCTGAGTTTCCCCCTCAGGAGGCCTATATGACCTACAAGGATAACATCCGACTGGTGGGGGAGCTGGTGACCATCTTCGGGGCTGTGATCATCCTGCTCGTAGAGGTGAGGTGTGGGTGGGGTCCAGGTGAAGCCATCTGCTCAGACACCCAGCCTAAGCTCCAGTCTTTGAAGAGCTTAAAGCCAATGTCTTTGCATCTCCCTGGCCTCTCCTCAGATCCCGGACATCTTCAGGGTCGGGGCCACTCGCTATTTTGGGCAGACCATCCTTGGCGGGCCATTTCATGTCATCATGTGAGTGTCCTCTCCTCCCAGCCTTGCCTTCTCTCCTGAGTCCTTCCAGGTCTCCAGTTCATTCTCTGGGATCTAGACCTCAGCTGACCCTCACCTGGGGGATTTTGCTCTAGTGGGCATGGATGCTGGGCTGGGTGTGTGTTTTAGGTATAAAGACTAAGCCAGAGTGTGCGGGTCTGTCTCAGTACCTTCTTGCTGCTGGTCCCCAGGGTAACTCAGTCCTCCTCTCCCCTCTACTCCCAGCATCACCTACGCCTGCTTGGTGCTGGTCGTCATGGTCATGCGGCTCACCAATGTCGACGGGGAGGTGGTGCCCATGTCCTTCGCCCTGGTGCTGGGCTGGTGCAGCGTCATGTACTTCGCCCGAGGATTCCAGATGCTGGGCCCCTTCACCATCATGATCCAGAAGGTCCTTGCCTCCCCCAAGTATCCCTTGTTGTCAGGACCTACTGGTGGAGGGATGGGTGTTGGAGCAAAAAGGAAAATTCTGCTTGAGGTGGACTTGGTGGAACTTCGGGGCTGTTAGGGTAGCTGCTCAGGGACAGGTGGAGAAGTACTCATCCTTGCTCTGTCCCCTTCTCTGTCTCTGGTAGATGATCTTTGGAGACCTGATGCGGTTCTGCTGGCTCATGGCCGTGGTCATCCTGGGCTTTGCTTCGGGTAAGAGCTCCATTCCCTTCTCCACTGACCATCAGACCCAGTTCTCCAGAGAGCCAATACTCACTCTTGCTCTCAGTTCTCCTTTGCACTTCCAAAAGTGAGTCAAAAAACACACCCATCTCCAAAGAGTCTGGGCCACTTGGGTTGGCCTAGAGGGAGACCCATGTGTTCTGAATCTCCGGATCAATTACATTTGTATTGACTTAATGCCCAGCAAGGTCTTTAAAGAAGAGGGAAAGAATAGGCTTTGGAGAGAGGGACATTACACAGGAAAGACTGGCCAATCGTAGACATTCGAGAACTATGTGGGCAAACAGAGACAGTGCAATGTTTAACCTTCTACATTTACAATTCAGAAGAAGAAACATAATGCATTCAATAAAACACAATATTCTTTTTTTTTCCATCTGTGGGCATTTAAAGTTGAGAAAAAAGAAAGAATCAGAAAAAGAAGGTACAGAAACAAAGTTTGAAGAATGGGAGAGGGAAACAGAAAAGAAGAGTTGTGAAGAGAGATGGAGGAACAGAGACAAACAGAGACTCAGTCAAGGTGACATGGGAAAGAGCCAGGGAGAGAGAAAGGAACATGGAAGAAAAGACAACTGAGAAAGAGTCAGAGGGAGGGATGGGGGAAGTGAATGAGGAGAAGAGAATTCTTAGGGAGGCATGGAATGCAGAAGGGCCCAGGTAGGAAGAGAGGAAGGCCGACAACTCTCATCCAGCCCCCAATTTCTCCAGCTGATCACCCATAAGACAAGGGGATTGTACTAGGTGATCTATGAAAACCCCCAACTCTAACAGAACATGCCTGGGTACAGGGTGCACTGTTCCTGCTGTTCCCACAAAACAATAGAGAGAAAAAAAAAAACAACAAAAAGACACATACAGCTGAGCTATGAAAGGGTAGAGCTGTGATAGTCTTGCCTGTTTCGAGTATTCCATTCCCCTGAGTCCTCATCCATCCTTTCTTCCCAACCCCACCCCATCTACATCTACACATATGCAGATTACACAATGAGCAGTTTTCTGTAGATGCCCTATACCCAGAACCCCCTGGACTGTCTCTTCTTGGCCCCAAGCTTGCTTTTTCTTCAATAAATAAGCAATGTTTTGTCACAGACCCTATTTCTGCTCCTGGGATCAGATCACCTTGTTCATGTCTCAGCTGCCCATACAGAGAGGAGGCTTAAAGGCTTTAATGCTTCCATAAGATTCCAAGATGCCCACTGTGCTCCCACTGCACAGGGATAACTTTCTAATGATAGAGATCTTAAGGATGGTCCAAAGGCCATCGAGATAAAAGAGGTGCTCTTCTTCTAGTCTTTTCATGCACTCAGCTCTTTAACAATATTGGAAATTCCATACATTCTTGTAACAACTTGCCTTTTAAATATATGGTTTTCTAAAATGTAAAAACCAGTTAGGTGACTTATTTAATATATCTTTTTTACTCAATGACTGGCTATCTCCATGACCCAGATGATGACCTTAGTCAGGGGACATCTTAGGGTTAGCCAGTGCCAGAGGTAAAATATGACCTCCATGTACACACATCCACACATCTGCACTTTTGGGTGTGTAAGTGTGTGCATACATGAGTGAGTAGATGGAGATGTGTATATTGGATGTAGGGTGAATGCTGAGCAGGCTCATGCTTGTCATGTAACTCTGTTTTCCCATCTCCATGTCCTCTTCCTGGGCGGGCCAGCGTTCTATATCATTTTCCAGACAGAGGACCCAACCAACCTGGGGCATTTCTACGACTACCCCATGGCTCTGATCAGCACCTTTGAACTCTTCCTCACCGTCATTGATGGGCCCGCCAACTATGATGTGGACCTGCCGTTCATGTTCAGTGTGGTCTACTGTGCCTTCGCCATCATCGCCACATTGCTTATGCTCAACCTGTTCATTGCCATGATGGGTGACACTCACTGGCGGGTGGCCCATGAGCGGGACGAGCTCTGGAGGGCCCAGGTGAGTTTTTAAGTATTAATCCAATCCTGCTAAAAGAGGTAAACTAGAGGGTCAGTGGAAACAAGGGAAACCCTCAATGAGATGGGTTGACACAATAGCTGCAACAATGGGCTCAAACATACCAATGATCACGAAGATGGTTCAGGACCAGGCAACGTTTCGTTCTGTTGTACACAAGGTCGCCGTGAGTTGGTGCCGACTCGACGGCAACTAACAACAACAACAATCCTGCTAAGAGGCAGGGAATAGAGAGAAGAATCAAAGCAGGATATGGGATGGTGGACCACTCAGCGGAGAGCCACAGTATAACCAGAGGAGTTATCTCTTCAATATGTATGTAAACCTGAGGCACTCAAGGATAGATGGAGGGAGTAGAAAGAGGATAAAACGATAGGACGGGGGGGAGCGGTGGAGTTTTGATCCTGGGGAAAAGCAGACAGACCTGGCAGTTACCCTTGATTCCAGTGGGAGCTAGTAACTGTCTCGCTCTTATATATTCTGGTTTTTATTTTGGATCTGATCTTCTATTTCCTCCTATAAATCCCTATTTCTCCCTGATCTTTTTTATTTTGGTTTCATCATAGACTAATAAAATACAGAGCTGGAAGTGACCTCAGTGGTCCTTTAGTTGAAGGTCCTGCCTAACATCATAATCATCTATTGATCAGAGAGTCATTCAATATCCTTTTGAATACCGATTAGGAACATATTATCTCATTGATATGGACAGGGGTTCGGGAGAGGTGAGTTTTTCCACATGTTGGAAGTTTTTGTTATTAGAAAGGCCAATGTTGAATTGAGCTGAACCCCTTCTTCCTATGAGCCCACCCTTCAGCCCCAGCCTTTTCCTCTGGTACAACACAGAACATGTTCTTCCATATGGGCATCATTCACATCCTTGGATACAGCCATCATGTACCCCCCTCAGACTTTTCATTTATTTACAAAGAATTATTCAGAGTCTGTTGTGTGTTGCGGAATGTCTGCGAGCTGGGGACACAGTGTGAACCCAGCAGATGCAGTCTGCGACCTCCCAGAGCTAGCGGTCTAGTTGGGAAGACAGACTAATAACCTACAGATAGTTGCACAGTGACAGAGAGAAGCACAAGGTGCTAAGGGAGGATGCAACAGAGGAATCTGACTGCCGGGTGAGGAAATGTGTCCTGAACAAGTGACATTTAAGGTGAAGCCATAAAGGTGGGGAGGAATTAGCCAGGTAAGGATGAAGGATGAGGTTTGTGTCCATTAGAACTCTTGAATGCAGGGACAGAAAACCAAACTCCAACAGACTTTTATAAAAAAGGGAGTGGGGAGGAGAAAGTGTCAGTTTTCATAATGGAAATTTAGAGGATTAAACTGGCCTTAGGCAGGTCTGGCCGGCGTCTCACACACGACATTAGAATCTCTGTTCTGCTCTCCTCTGTGTGGGCTCTCCCATCATGATGATGAGATAGCTCTGTAGATGCCCCAGATTCCTCAGGGAAGGAGCAGGTACATGGCATTTCACAGTTCCAAGGGCAACATTCATGCTGTATTCTGTGTGCTTGCCGATGCTGTGCAACACTGCAGCCTTTAAAAGAGTATCTCTTCCCCAGCGAGCCCGGTTCTAGATCAATGGAACAAGTTTGGGTCTCAAGTCCATCCTTGAATCTAAGGCTATGGCCAAGGACTGGATACTGGTGGAGGTGGTAGAAATGATGGTGGTGGTGGTGGTGGTGGAGGTGATGGTAGTGATGGAAGAGGTGATGGTGGTGGTGGTGGTTAAAGTGATGAAGGTGGCAGGGGTGATGGTGGTGGCAGTGGAGATGGAGGTGGTGATGATGATGGTGATGACGGTGGTGGTGGCAGTGGTAGTGGTGATAGTGGTGATGGTGATGATGGAGGTGGTGGCGATGGAGATGGTAGTGGTTTTGGTGATGATGGTGGCGGTGGTGATGGTGATGATGGCGATGGTGGAGGCAGTGGTAGTGGTGGTGGTGGTGGTGGTGGTGGTGGTGGAGATGGTAGTGGTGCAGGTGGTGGTGGTTGGGTTTGGAAAAAAATAGATTAATTGACCAGGACTTCGTGCAGTTCAGTCTACTCTGTCCAATGGACTGTGGGGGTGAAGGAGTGATTCCCAATGAGAGTTCAGTTACTGAAAGAAGGTGGGGGCTGAATGATGGGGGAAGAATAAACCATAAGTGTCATTTTCAAGGGACAGAGGGAGAGAGAAAAGATGTCCAGAGAAAGGGAATAGAATGATTGAGAGTCCTGAGGTAGCAAGAAACCGAGAGAAGGCCAGTGTAGAGTGCCCAGAAAGACAAGGTGTGGAAGAATGTGAGGCCGAAGAATTGGGCCATTTGAGGATTGCTAGCTTCTTCAACTACGAAGCCTTCCTAGCCTCAACCCTTCCTGCTTGCACCCTCTGTTCATGCCCTAATAGATCACTCTCTTTTCAAAACTAGAATGGTCCTCATATGAATGGAACAATGAGTTACACAGAGGGGTCATGCTAGTGTACTGTTAATACCACCTTAAGCTGAGTCAGGTCTTCTAGCAAATATGCAGTTGGCCCTTATGAAACTTACAATCAACTCGAACCCTTGGATTTTTTTCACATGACATACCTAGCTAAGCTCATTTATGTTTTTCCTTTTACCTTTATCATGCAGCATGAATGTAGGACCTTCCATTTGGTTTCCTTAAATTCCACATTGTTGGTTTTAGACCAGCATTCTAGTCTGATGAGATCATTTTATATTGCTTCTGTCATTATCCAGACTTGTGTCACAGGCATATTTGATAAGTGTGTCTTCTATGTTTCACCTAAGTAGTTAATGAGGGCAGGGCAAAGGAGAGAACACTTGATGTGCCACTAGAAATTTCTCTCCTAGAGTCATTAATCAGCCTCCTTCCTCTTAGGATATGAGTACTTAACTGCTGCAAAGACCTTGAAAGGTGGAATTATTATTTATACACAATATCATAAAGAGTATGTTTAATCATTTTATTTAAATCAAGATAGTCTGTGGCTTTCCTATGAAAATGGAAATGAGATTAGTTTGGAGTCACTCATTTCTCTTGAGTATGAATATAAACATAAAAGAATCTCTCTCCTTTTGTGGTGAAGGATGTGTAGAGTAACCAGTGCCTGGCACAGAATATGGGGTGGGGGGACAGACTGTGGGGTGGAGACAGACTATGGGATGGGGGACAGACAGGTATCCTCATCACTGACATGGTGTCCTCGTCCCACAGTGCTATATGATCTCTTCTGTCGCTGGACAGACTATGGGATGAGGGAGAGCCTATGGAGTGGAAGACAGACTATGGGGTGGAGGATAGACTATGGGTTGGAAGATAGACTATGGAGTGGAGGATAGACTATGAGATAGAGTATAGACTATAGGGTGGAGGATAGACTATGGAGTGGGGCAGATTATGGGGTGGGGAAGAGACTATGGGGTGGGCACAGATGACTGTCCTCACCACTGGCCTGGTGTCCTCATCACGCAGTGCTGTCTTGTCCACTTTGTTGTGTTGGGGCCTCAGGTCTCTGGACCCCACAGCTCTGAGTTCTCCCTCTGCCTCTGGCCCCTTCCAGGTTGTAGCTACCACGGTGATGTTGGAGCGGAAACTGCCTCGCTGCCTGTGGCCTCGCTCCGGCATCTGCGGGCGCGAGTATGGGCTGGGCGACCGCTGGTACCTGCGGTGAGTGACACGCAGGAGGCCCTGTGGGCATGGGTACGTGAGTTGAGGCCCCAGTTTCCCTGCTTGCAATTCCAACCTGGACTCTGTACAGAAGAAATGCCTCACCCAGTGAAAGTGACACTGTGGGGCCTGTTAGAGGGAGGGGATGGAGCCAACGTGCAGGAACAGAAAGAAGGCTGGCAGTGAACGCCAGACTTCATGTGTGTCAGGTGGTAACGTTTGCAGGCTCAAGCGTGTGTGTCCCTGCGTGGGTGTGTGCATGGTGACCTGACCTGCATTAGTCTTCTTCTCCCCATCCTTGTTCCTGGTCCCTCCTGAATCCAGCTTCTTCCTTTACCCCCATGCTCAACTCCTGACCTGCCCTCTCTCTCCCCACACTTGTTTCCAGAACTGCATTCTCCTCATCCTTATGACACACATATCTCCTCACTGGCTCCATTTTCTCTTATGTTCACACAGAGACACTCCAAGCCCTAGATCCAGATCCTGGTTGCCCCACCTCCTTCTCCTCTCCCCTAACTCTCTGCCCCTCTGCTCCACTGCCTGCCCTGAGCCCTGGACACTCTCCCTGCTTCCACTCTGCTCTGCCTCCCTCCTCATGGTCCTGTCTGCCTCGTGGCCCACTCATCTCTGCCTCTCCCCACTCCCACACCAGGGTAGAGAACCACCATGACCAGAACCCTCTGCGAGTGCTTCGCTACGTGGAAGCCTTCAAGTGCCCCGACAAGGAGGATGAACAAGAGCAGGTTTCTGGGGAACCACTGTCTGTGACCGAGAGGGGGGCTCTGGCCAGAGCATCGCTGGCCCTGCCCACACCCTCCCTGTCCCGGACCACGTCTCGCAGCAGCAGTCATCGCGGCTGGGAGATTCTTCGTCGAAACATGATGGGACACGTGAACCTGGGGCTGGAACTTGGTGAGAGGGACGGAGAGGAGAAAGTCTACCATATATGACAAGGTTCTTGACCTGAATCCAAGTGGGCCTGGAGGGTGGACAGAGAGGGAGACACCTACCTAGGTGAGCACCTTCCATGCCTGTTGGTCGTGGAGGATGTGTAGAGCATGGTTCCTGGAGGTCATATCTCACCTGCACATCAGCATTTCTGGAGATGAACAATGGAGAACGGGGTCCCACCAGCTTCTGGGCTTTTGGAACCCCCACAACTTGGGATAAGGAGGTGTCTTTTGGAACAAAGCTGAACTAGGCAACTACAGACATGCAGTGGGGATGGTGGACTAGTTCCCGGGCCATGTCTCTTTCTGCCCCATGCGGGTACCAGAGAGTGGTACGCCTGGAAGTTTGCCTCATTCCACAGGGCTGAATATGAAAGAGCCAGCCATGGCTTGGAGTGCGTGGCTCTTTCTTTATTCCTTCTCCCCTGGAGGACTCTCTCCACCCAGAGACCCAATCCCACCTAAAAAGCTGTGAGAAGCTGTTCCTTCTCCTTGCTCTCTGAGGATCGGTGTCTGGAAGTGTTAGCATCCTGGTATGTTTTTCAGTATATGGTCCCTTGTGCCTTTAGTGGCCCAGTCATTTCTTCCATGGGGACCCTCCTGCTCCATCACCAGGGGCTCCTCAGACACCAGTCACCCGTGTGTCTCCTGCCACAGCCACCTCTCCTCACCTGCATGTGCCCTGTGAGGAGTTGTGGGGTGAAAGCATGACAGAGCAGGGCACCCCCTCTGGGAAGGAGCTTGGGAACCACGGTCCAGGGCACCTGCTGCAATGTCTCATGGACTGCCCTCTTGGTACCTAGCCCTTCGTGTCTTTTTCTGTCTGTATCATCACCCTCACCACAAGACCATGCCAGCTTCTAAGACGACTGTGGCCTGGACTAGCAAAGAGGTGGGTGAGTTGATGACACCACCGAGAGTTTCATCCAGACACACAACTGCACAGTCTCATGCCCAAGAGTGGGGGTCACACACACGTGTGCACACATGCACATGGGTGTGCACACATGCACATGGGTGTGCACACACACTCATGTGCACACATATGCACATGGCACACTTGCACACACTCATGCACACATTCACATGAAATATTAGTGTGCACACTTGTGTTTACACATGCATACTCACATGTGCACACTTGCACACACATTTGCATATGCACTTGTGCACAAACTTGTTCTCACACACACACACACACACACACACTGGTACACAGAGGTGGTGTGAAGTTTAACGTGTTCAGTCACCAGGATCCCTCTTTATGTCCTTTCACAATGGAAGTACTTTTACTCCTGTTTAAGATGAACTCCCCGTGTCCACATCCCGTTCTCTCTGTCTCTGTGTCTATTTGCCTCTGACATGAGACCTGTGCCCATCACTGTCAGCTCTAACTCCTCACAAGTGTATCATCAACCTCTCCCTCTCCACCAGCTGTAATTGGCAGCAAATAAACATGCTCAGTTCTTTTCCATCTCTAAAGCAGCTGCAAATGCCCTCCCTCCAGCCAACCTCTTCTTTCAGCCCTCTCTGTTTTGCTCTCTATTCAGGCCAGACTTCTTAGCAGTAATCCACATTGTCTGCTTAGCTCCCATTGAGTTCTTGGCCCATTGTGAGTTGGCCTTGCCTTCTACATGCTGCTGCTGATGCCATCCTTGCCAAGGATCCGCCTGCAGCCAAGTCACGGGGCAGCCTTGATCCCGCCTGACCTCTTTGTAGCATCCAACGGTAGTCAACCACTCACTACATCCAGAGCCACATGCTCCTGGTTTCCCTGACCACCTTCACTGCTTCTCAACCAACCACCATTCCTGCTTCTCAACCGACCACCCTCACTACTTCTCAACTGACCACCCTCACTGCTTCTCGTCAATATCAGTCCCTTCAACATTTTGGCCCACGAGGCCCTGACCAGGGCTCCTTGCTGTCTTCCCTACCTGGGCAGCCCCAGCTCCTTCCACAGCTCTGTGACCTGCCCGTACTGAAGACTCCCATGTTCCATCTCCAGTTCCAATCTGTCTCCTGACTTCCTGGCAGAAGTGGCCTGAGTGCTTGTCTACTGGACAGCTCTACCTGGCATTTTACAGACACCTTAAACTTAAAACACCTTAAAATGTTTCCCATGGGATAGCTCTCCTTCCTCAGCAAACCTGCTCCTCCACCAGGTCCCCAACCAGCCAGCGGCAGCATGACAGGCAGAGCTGCCTGAGACCTGGCAGTGACCTCATTACTCATCTCAATGCTCATGCCAGCAAGACAAGAGTGTTATTATTCCCTAAACATGTCCTCTGAAAAATAATGAGTTTTGATTAGGTAACATCACATGGTACAAAGTTCAAAAATCATCCAGCTATACAGGGAAAGTAAGATTTCCTGACTTGCCCCTGCCACCCAGGTGTTCTTTCCAAGGACAGTCATTCATAAGGTTCATTGTTTATTCTTGCAAAAATACGCTATGCTACCCAAGCATATGTATGTATAAATTTGTCTTAAAAACACATAATGACTAAGGTGAGCCTGACCCAAGTCATGGTGTTTTCAATTGCCTCATATACATGTGAAGGCTGGACAATAAAAAAGGAAGACAGAAGAAGAATGGATGCATTCAAATGGCAGTATTGGTGAAGAATGTTGAATATACTGTGGACTGCCAGAAGAACAAACAAATCTGTCCTGGAGGAAGTACAGCCTGAATGCTCCTTAGAAGAGAGGATGGTGAGACTTCATCTTGCTTTCTTTGGTCACGTCATCAGGAAAGACCAGCCACTAGAAAAGGACATCATGTTTGGGAATCTCTCAGTGAGATAGATTGACGCAATGGCCACAACAATGGATTCAAACATACCAACAATCATGAAGATGGCGCAGGACCAGACAACGTTTCATTCTGTTATACGTAAGGTCACCATGAGTCAGAGCCAACTTGATAGCAACTAACAACAACAATATCTAAGAAGAAGTGTTCTTGCTCACTTAACAATATACGTTGAAGACTGTTCCATATCAATATAACATCCAAAAAAATCTTCATTTGCCCTTTCCACCCCAAACCCTAATGCCATGCCTATAGAATGGGTCATCATCATCTCCTCCACTACAGGGGAAGGTCCCTAGTTGCTCTCTTTGCAAGCAGTCTTGCTCCTCTCCAAGCCATAGTTCATGCTGTAGCCAAGATGATCTTTGAAAAATGTGACTCGTGCCTCAAGCTGTTGTCTGTTGGAAAACTTTCCATGAGCTGACTCCTAGCAACCTCTCAGACTTCTCTTGCCTTCTGATTCAACAAGCTAAATTATTTTTAGTTCCTGGGTAGAACTATGTTCTCTTTCTTCTGGGCCTTTCTACCTCTCTGCACCCCTCGCTTCTTCCATCTTTGTAATTTGTATTCATCTTATTGGTCTCAGCTTAAAAATCACACTTTAGTAGTGAGGCTGTTTGCAGGGGGTCCAGTGACCTTAGGCTAGCTTAGGGTCCTCCTGCTCTATGTTCCCAGACAACTTTTTTTTTCTTTTATTACAGTTCCCACACTTTATTGCAATTACTTGTTGAAATGTCTGACTGCTTTAGTAGACTGTAAGATCTGTGAAGGCAAAGATGGCATCTTTCTTGTTCATCATATTCCCAGTGCTGGGTAGAAGTCCTGGTACATGTAGTATGTAATAAATATTTATTAACTGATTCTATGCCTGATTGACTTGGTTTTCATTCTGTTCTCCCACTGGCCATTCCTTGGGTTTTTCTACCTGCCAATGGCGGTAAAAATGCCTTCCTTTGAGTAGGACTGTTGTAATTAGAGATGAGCATGTGATGTGGATGAAAACACTGGAAAAGATAAAACCCAGTGCAGATGTTAGTGATTATTGGGATACTTTCTCAGCTTAAACATACTTCTTTGTGCGTGTGTGTGTGTGAGAGAGAGATAAGAGAGAGGAAAAAAAAAGGAGGAGAAAGAACCCTAGCAGCCGAGCTCGGGCCAGTTCTAACTGACCCCCTGGTGTGTGGTGCCCTCCGTTAGTGGCATTCAAGGCAGTCTGCAAAAGATTCCACATCTGCCCCCAGGAGCCCACGTAAGGTTGAAAAGACTCAGACACATAACCGCAGGGCAGCCCAGGTAGTGAACCTTGACCTCAGGTGTTCCTGTCCCGTAGGTAGCCTGCCCCGATTGTCCATGGGGCTCCAGAGACCACTGGGACAGAGGGAAAGAAATGCCACTGTTCCTGCCTCAGGGACTCTCCAAGCACCCCACACGATCCCCATCGCCCTCCCTACCCCGTTACCTCAGAGAATCTCCAAGCACCCCACACAGTCCTCATCACCCCCCACCCTGTTACCTCAGGGACTCTCCAGGCACCCCACACAGTCCCTGTCGCACCCCACCCCATTACCTCAGGACACAGAGCACTCTGGCACCCATGTGCCCAGGCCCAGTCTCTGACTTCTCTGGGCCCTAGCCACTGTCCCTTAAAGGTTAGTGAGGAAAATGAGGAAGGCGAAGGAAGCCACACGTTGGCAGTGAGCACGGAGTGGGGCTGTGCTGACCTGGGAGGGCAGCAGGAAGGAGCCAGCTGGCCAGGGCCGGGAGCACCTTCTCACTTGGTTGTACCTCTTCTTTGTTCACCCTGGGCTGGAGGAGGTGGCAATTAGGGCCAATTGGGCCTGAGGGGGCGGGCTTGTGCAAGGCTGGTGTGCAGCTGGAGGAACTGTGTGTGTGTGCCTATCCACGCAGCACCCTATACCTGTGCAAGGGGCTCTGTGTGTGTGTGAATGCATATGTGTGCATCTGTGTGTGTGAGAGGGCATGTGTGCGCATGTGAGTTCACGTGCGTGCATGTGTGTGTGCATGTGAAGGCATGTGTGTGTGCATGAGTGCGCGTGTGTGCCAACCCATGCAGTGCCCTGTACCTGTGTGAGAGGCTCTGTGAATGTACGCGCATGTGTGCGTGTGAGTGCATTGTGTGCATATGAGTACATGTGAGGGCATGTGAGTGTTTCATGTGTGTGCA